AACACATCGTACAGGACCATTATGACCGGGTAATGTTGACAAATGTTCACCTTCTGTATTCCATAAATGAACGGTATTATCATAACATCCCACAAGTAAAATATCACCATAACCTTCACATGCACTAGCCCAACCATGAATCACGACTTTGATTATAACAAGATTTAGTCTTTTTAAGGTCATCTTGTAATTCTAATAACAGTTTTTGAATTGTCAATTCATTATTGGCGATAATATCTTTTGTATCCGTTGTGATTACGTTTGCTTCATTAGAGGTTGTTGTTGTCGTCTGTATCGACGATGCGTTCAATGCTGTTGTACTACGCGTCATCTAAAAATAGACAGGAAGGAAAATTAATAAGAAGTTAAAAATCTCTCTACACATACTTAGATGCAAATATATATTCACACTACAAAAGTTAATTGAGCTAAAACGAAGCTAATTGGTTAGAAATTTAACTCTGAGTTAAATGCTGTTTCGGACATTATTTAACCTTAACTCTCCAGTCATCAATGAGCTCAGTAATCAATAATATGATTCTGTCAGAAAATGGCGGTAGTTTTGTGGAGAAACAAACATCTGACTCTACTCAATCTTTCTGTTCCAGCTTAGAAAGGCAACTGTAGAATCTAAATTCAAATCGGCCGGCTGTTAGCAAGCCGCAACCTTTGAGAGTACTAAAGCCAGGAAGCAGCACAATTTTAGCGGAAATATCAAAATCTTATTGGTGTATTAAAGATTTAGATGTGAACGCTCTCGAAGTTAACTTCGAGTTAACTTTGAAAATTTTGTAGTGTAAACATAGCCTTCTTTAATATTATGATATGATATATGAATTATGGATATCAGATTCTCTCATAACATTATTAGTTGAAATGCTCCTTTTTTCAGACCAATAAAAATGTTGAAACTGTCCCTCATGACGTTAACAATTACATTAAGAACTACGTGTTTGTTTTGTGTGTTGTTTTCATGTTTGAGGATTTGGACGCATTCAATTCAAATTTTTTTTCAGTTTTTATGAGAAAATGTAGCTCACCTTTAGCTCATTGTGATTGATCTAGTTCAACCGATAAAATGCTGCAACATGACTCACAGTTCTCCATTTTTTGTGTTAATCTCTTTTGATTTCACTTGCATTACACATATATTAGCGATTGAGTGAAACAGCTCTTCCACTGGTGATATGTGGGCTTGTGCTCTTTTTGCTAGCAGAAGAAAATGCAAATCTGAAACCATAGTCGACTGAAGTTAACGTTTTATAGACTTTCTTTTGTTTGTTTACACTCAAGAACTGAGAATGATCTGTCCCAGATTTATATTCTCTTTTACAATAACCTAACAATGTGAATTTTTTTCTGTTTCAGATCCACTTATGTCTGATTTTCAACAACAACAACAACAACAATCAATAAACGCTATTAATGATCAATCGTCATCATCAGCTGAAATTCAAGTTCGATTTATTACACGTTTAGATAAATATGCTGTTCCAAGCATACCCTTATTTATTCCAGCCACATCTTCAACACAACAGTTATCAACAATTCTAAAAAGTTTATTAACATCTGCTGAACATTTTACTGATAAAGATTTAGCAAATATCCACTTTGATTTCTTATTTGATGGAGAAATTATACGTTTACCATTGAGCCAACAACTGAATGAAAGAAATATCCCTTTAGTAAGTTTTGTGAATGACTTCTTGCCGTCTTCACCTAGAATCCGATATTTTTTCACATACACACGAATAAAGTAAGAAAAGATTGATTTGCCTCCATCTGTTACTTAAGCGGTATCTTTCAAGGTTTTATCAATAATTTTTTGAAATATATACTTTTTGAAATTTTAGGAAAGATTAATTGAATTAGAATATATTGAACGTTTCCGTCCTCCGGAACCGGAAGACTCTTATTTACATGATGATTGGGTTAGTGCATGTGAAGGTTATGGTGATATTTTACTTGTGGGATGTTATGATAATACCGTTCATTTATGGAATACAGAAGGTGAACATTTGTCAACATTACCCGGTCATAATGGTCCTGTACGATGTGTT